GCTCCTGTCTTATCTCTGCCACCGTAAGTTCCTGAATTAGAAGCAGTGAATAAACACAGCACTGTTAAAAAAAGAGGAGAGAAAATTAAGCAATTCTCTAAAGAATTCAGGTGGCTTTCTGGAGCAGAGGAGCACCACCACCAGAGGAGGGGTCCCTGGACCGATTTCTACATACTTGCCTGGACCTCACAGGCCTAATATTCTGCTTTGTACCATTTTGTGTCATTGTACTCAGCTGGACTATTCCTATACTTGGTATTTAGATATGCCAGTTGCTTGCCTGGGCTGGGTGGCATCTGCTGCCTTCTTGCATGCAACAGATCAGGTTGGCCTGAAAGATGCCCAGCAAATCCCCAGCTTACTGCAGCTCTTCAGTTTCTGTTGACTAGAAACATGCCAGTCTCTGGGTCGCTGCTCACCACTCACAGAAGCATTTGTGTTTTTGGCTTCAATCATTACCCACATAAAGGGACCTGGAACACCCTGAGCAGTAGTGAGGATGGATCCTCTCTGTTTCAAAAAGCAGAGGGAGATTCAGAAGAGCACAGACTAAGGCGAGACTGCTTCAAACACAGCATCTTCTGTACATGTTGTGAAAGCCTGAGTAAGCCTAGAAGGAACTGCAAGGGAATACACTTACTTCAGTCCTGATGATACAAATGTTGAAATAGTTTCTTTCCCTGAGGAACCTAAAAGAGACAGCGAGGCCAGCTTCTCCAGCAGAAGTGGTTGAAGTTCTACTGATGACTTAATGGAATAGTTTCTATTGTGTAACATCATCTCTCTGGTTTCAAAGTGATTTGCTTGACTTGTGAAAAACAAGTTTCCTTTTACACACATGCAGTCTCACACACCACACTCTCCTCCCCTCCCACCTATCTCTAGCACCATCCCTCTGGTCTTCCTCAGTTAGGAAAGCAACAGGGAGTCAGTTTTATTGCAGCTAACAGCAGTACAAGGCTCTGTAATGAGTTTGTCTACCTAAACTGTCACAATGAAGTTTGGACTGGTCGGCAGTCTTGTTCACAGTCTCATTTTAGACATGGCAGTCTCCTAATAGAGCTTACAATACAGATCCAGGAAACAAAGCCCTCTCCTCTCCACCACAACCTGCAGCCTTCCCCAGTCAGAGGATGTAGTGGGCCTTTACAAGCGCTGTAACAGGTGCATGAGTGGATAAAGCCATGGAGAGGAAGAAATGTCTGAGCGACAGCTGAACTAGGTCTTTTTAACTAGGCTCAAGGCCTTTGATTAGATTAGCCACACCTTTGCAGGAAAGTAAGCTGTTAATCATTTACTGCAGTACAAACAGGCAACTTCCATGCTAGCTCTACAAGTCCCCAGGTACAGTAAGGGGGACCCTCACCACAGGCCAAGATCTCTTGGAGGGGGTGCAGAGGAGGCACCAGAAGAAACACCAACTACAAACACAACATCTTCAGGTATTTATAAAATCGCATACAGCTCTCCCATTTCAGGAGATTAACTGCGGTTAGCAAAAGAGACAGGAACTTTCTAGGGTGTACAGTCACACAGGGTTTCTGCCTTTGGGTCTACAGAACTGGTAACTAGGCTGCTCCTTTTTAAAGGCAAAGGAAACTATGCAGAATGGCTTTCATGTCCTATATGCCTGTTGGTTAGAGTGGGCATGGTGATCTGCCATCATTCTAGAAAACAAAGCATGAACTGAATATATGTGGCTGCTGAGAAAGAAACAAAAACTTCAGGAAATTGAAGTGTGAGCTTGCGCTCCTAGTCAAATGTGACTTCCTGGGGGTGAAAAATGCTTGACATCACTAATCCTCTTCCTTACAATATTAAGGATACAGACATAAGGGGCAGCAAGTCAAAAAAATTTTCAAAAATAACAAAGATCTCTTCCTGTATTATGTCTGCACAGTCATATTTGAGAGAAAGTATAAGATATAATCCATCCTTTCCCTTGAGAAGCAAGGAAGCTTTAATAAAACCACAAGATGCTCGCAAAGAGATGCTGGATGTTCTTTAGAAAGCTGATAGCCAAGTCATTATGCAAAGTATCAATGAAAGAGAAGTGTGTAGAACCCACTGAGATCCCAGTTTAAATTATTGCTGGACCTAAGTACTTCATGGGAGGAAAACTTATGCTTCCTTTGCAGAGTAACAGCGTTCCTAAAGCAAACTCTGTTAACAGGAGACCTTTTTTACATAACTAGACTATTTTAAGCCCTATGGGAGCAACAAATTGTACGTGAAGATCTCTGCTTATTGTTGGTGGGGGATTTGTTCATTTTTTGTTTGTTTTTAAATAAGTGTTCATTTAATCTCCACTGTGTTCTTAGAGTTTAAGTACCCAACTCCTTTTTAGAGACCTTTCCAATGGTATCAAGCAAGTTCTTCCACTGAATACTTGTCTTTCATGTATAGGCTGTACAGTTGACAGAGATGAAGGGTTCATACTGAACATGCTGGGAGAGACACTATATTATATTATTAAAAATATTGATAAACTATGATTAAAATAAATCTCAACTGCCAAAATCCTGTAAAGCCAGAAGCTTTCCTCTTTACATATCTGTAGATCTGATTGTGAAACTGGCCTCAGCTATCTTTCTTCTGGTTTATGCTCCCATTTCTGTGAAGGGTGACTGCCTTTTGGAAGAGGGATGACTGCAGGCACAGACAGATGCATGCCTATACTGTTTTTGGGACTGTGGCTCAGAGCATAGAGAGGATGCACCAACATCTGATATTGTTCTTGTCTGCCTCCAGCAGGGTGGAAGCCAGCATGTCATCAGTACAAGCGGCATCCTCAGTCCTGGAAGACCTACAGAGACTGACTGTAACAAGTGACTGGGCTCTTGGAGGGCTAGTCGTGATTGGTACCTTCTGTCTTGTTTTTGTTGCTCTCCTCTTATTTGCTGCCATCTTTGGGTGCTGCTCATCTCCAAGGCACAAACAGAGTGGTGCATAAACAGCAAACCTGAGATGCAGTACTTGGAGCCCTGCAGCTAAGCAAGAATCAGCCCAGCTACAACCTGATTATGTTGCTCATAGAAAGCTTTCTCATCTTCTCTCCCTGCATGGTTATTTCTCCCCATGCAACTTTCCTGCATCAAGAGCAATGCACCAATGCCAGCAAGTTGTTCTGCAAGTCCACAGTAAACTTAATACATAAGGCTATCTGTGTTCAGGAACTGCATAACTAGCCAAATACCAAAGTCAACTCATCTCTGCCTGATTTTCATCTTTCAAGCAAAACCACTGGTTAGAGGTGGCAAATGGTCAGCCACCACCTAAAGCTGATAAAGATGTCTTCTGCTGCTGCAGTTATATGGGGTTTTTTTTTCCATCTTGCAAATGGGCAACAGGAAACTCTGACCAGCAAAAGCTTTGTCTAAACCCACTCTCTAAAAGCAGCTTATACCATTGTTCTCCTGTCATACTTGGACAATAGCCTAAATATACTATCAAAAACTTGCTTGCCAGTATACAAGTCTGTCTTTATTCTTATTTAGAACCTTGCAAGGTCAGAGTTTCAGGTTTGCTTTCACTGTTTGGATAGTGAATAGAACTGTATTAATTCAAAATGTAAAAAAGAAATGCAACGTGGTGTTCCTTTACATAGCATCATAGTCTCCTGTACAGTTATGAGCAGGGAAGCCAGTCAGTGGTGCTGCAATACACGACTCTGGGATGCATATGGCATGTTATACAGTAGGAAGAGGGTACCAAGCTGGGGGAGGGAAGAAGTAGTATGGGAGACGTGATTTCTAATTAGGTCAGTGCTATTCCCCTTACAGAAATCTCTCTTTTATGTATCTAATGAAATCCTATTTCCATTACTATTCATCTGAGCAAAGGAGAATGTTTTCTCTCTGCCCTTGCTCAGTTATTGCCTGACTGCTGCAATGCAACTCTAGAGAAGCTCCTTACTTCAGATAGCAATCAGGCTCTTTACAGCATGCATGAAGTGGGAGATGCTGTAAGATGGTTACATGGAGCCTAACTCATGCCCTCACTGGGACACCACCCTGGAATGTCCTGTGACTGCTTCTGGCTTGTACAAGGTTAGTTCAGTGATCCCAGTCCAGTTCTTACGGCCCTGGTGTCCATTCCAAGAAATGACTGTCACGACTAACTCCTGATAACCAGCTTAGGAATCAAGGAGAAACAGATACCAAGACAAGGTTTCCTCAGGTTAGCATCTAACCAGATAGATACAGCTGCCTCTCAGATTATACAAAACCCAGACACTGCTGTGAGCTGGTAACACACACAAGAAGGAGCAGAGCTGCTTAGCCAAGTAAGCGAATCAAACTCTTATAGCAAGAAGCCCCCTAGTTGACCATTTTCAGTTACTGAGCACATACTGCTCTCTTACTGGCAAAATTGTAACTTTGATGTCTTATCCAGCATAGAATAGCAATTAGTACTATTACAGCTTACAAGTCCTGAACAATGCACGTTGAGGTTGCTAGTCTGCATTTAGATTGCGCACGTCCATAATTTGGGCCTGTTTCTGAAACTTTCTAAGCACCATCAGCTCCTTCTAAGGTCAATGAGAATCATGGGTACCTACTACTTTGCAGAGTGGAGCCCCTGAGATTTAGAGAAACATTAAGTCTAAATGCTTCCATCCCAACAGCTGATTAGGCTGTTTGTCTCCTTAGAAGAGAGATGATGTAGTGAAGGAGGAAAGAGTCAAAACAAAAGCAAATGCAACTAAGTCAACCCATCATCAAAGATAGAACATAGTAAAATTCATAGCTAGAGGAGTTATAGTTTAACTCCTGTCACTTGGTCAGGCTCCAAGACCAACATCTCAGTTAACTCGGAGGTGGGAGTGAGTGAGAGATGTCTCAGGGACACCTTCCTCAGTCCAGACAGCAAAATATCAGGCGATTCATTCAGTATGTTCTTTTTCCTGGACATGCAAGATCTCAGACATAACAGTGCCTCAGAAGGGATAGGGCATGGTTTCGCCAACATTAAACAGTGTTTGAAAGAAGTGCACTCACCCCAGCTCCTCGCAGAAGTTCACAATAGCATCAAAAGCTGTCATCACAGCTTTGTCAGATTCTTTTAAAGTGCCTTTTTTTTCCTGAAAGTAGATGGGGACAATAACTATAGTCTTCAATTTAAATATAAACAGATAAAGTAACTAGCCAAATCCAACCCTTCTGATCAATATGGCAAACAGATACAGACACCATCCTGTCTCTGCTCCACACTTCTGCTCACCCATGCCTAGTCAATAGAGCTGGATCTGGCAGCCCTTTCCCTTCCTGCTTCACTCCCTTCTGCTATCCCTTGAAACAGGGCTACAGACAGCTCTAGACCCAGAAAAACTCATTTCATCTTTGCATATTCAGAGGTCACTGCAGGCAAGAGGCAAACCAGATCAGAGCAAAGGCAGCATATCTAGGCAGGTGGATACTACTCTGCAGATCCTACCTGGATGTTAGAGAGCTCCTTCTTAATCAGGAAGCTGACTTGATCCCGGTCATTCCTTGAGTAATAGAGGCGGCAGCAGGATGGTTTCCCATCTCTCCCAGCTCTGCCAGACTCTTGGTAATATCCAGCCATTGACTTAGCAATATTCCAGTGGGCAACAAATCTGCACGTGATAAGACAACAGGAAACGTAAGGCTGCAGGTTTCTCAGATCACTGCATACATGATTGTATTGTTCATGGACATCAACAACCGTAAAAAAACAGGGCAGCAAAAGCATAAAAGGCAGAGGACTTAGCAGAGCAAGGGATTTTGCACACAGAAATTTAAGACCTCTTAACACATGAGACACAAGTACAGCAACAGAGCTATAAGAAAACAAATGCATCTGAACAACATGTGAGCAGCATGTCACCCCAAATGGATGGAAATAAATGGGCACATGAATATCCCAAACACGCATTCAATTGTACAGCTGTGAAGAGTGAGAATAAGGACATTGATTTAAGGAGTTTGGGAGATTTTACCATAAAATAGAGCATTAATTAAAAAGTCCTATTTATTTTGTGGAACACAATTTGAACATTACAGAACACAATTTGAAATACTCGATTTTAAAGACACTTCTTTGCCAACGAAGTCTGCATGGGAAATTCTGTCTCACCAAGCTCCCTTGTAGATGAGGGCACCCTTCCCAGCCAGCAAATAAGACTATGAATCACTACTAAACTGCATGTAATCTCTGAAGGAAGGTTTTCAACACATCACTGCAAGACTGCTTTAAACCTGCTTGTACCTGAATATTCAGCAATTCAGCTTATACTTGTGTTGAGAAGATTTTACAGTACAGTAGCGCTGCCGATGTTTTAAATACCAGTCTGCCTCAAAACCAGCATGTCCCAGGGGCAGGTATGATGCATATGGGTGTGGCAAAAGATTAAATGACAAAAGCAAGCAAACATGTTTCTTCAAACACAAACACTCCAGGAACAGGCCAGGCAGGAAGCATCAGAGCCCTACACATTTATTCCCCATCAGGAAGTTTACTGAAGGAATTGATAAATAATCTCAAGCAAAACTGAATTAGCAGTGAAGAGAGAGAAGCAGATTCCATCAGAAAAAGAGACACCACCTCTGTTTCCCCTTTTGTCCAGAAGAGTCACCTCCAGAACTTGTCAGATCTCATTTTACTCAATAATATACGCATGAGTACTCAGAACTTTGCCAACATAGAGCGAAGGCTAAGCAGCAGTGCCTTGTTGCTTAGGCCCCTTTAACCTATTAAAAAACATCCTGTAAAGAGTCATTTAAACTCCATTCCTTGAAGACTAACCAGATTACAAGTATGTTTCAGCTATATTTCACTCTCAAGCCGCCCTATGCTTTTCAGTTACTCTTTGCCTTTTTTAATGACAACTGTACCGAACAGGGCAGAGTGGTTTCAGCAGGTCATTAATTCATCCTGCTATTCTCATTCCTCTGTTGGGTAACATGCATCAAGCAGTAAAATAGTCTGTCATTGCTATGGGATCCTGTTATCTGTCAGCACAGTGACACAGACAGAAGGATGGCACAGTTGTGAACTGATGTAATTGTCTCAGTGATGTCCTGCCCCTCTCCCAGTGTTCAAAGCAATTACTTTATGTGGATTTTAGAGTAAAGATTAGGTCTGTGTGGGGTGTTGTGTGAGCTGCTCCTGAGTTATCCCTCTACTAAGTCATCACAGCTCACAGTACTAACTCAGCACAGCTATATTGCGGTGCAGGAATTCTAACAACACAGAGCAATTATGGTGACAGTTAGAAGTCCCAGAGGAACAGCAACTGAAAACATGTGCAAAGTTTCTGTCCTTGGACTAGAGCTATATTTTCTACACGGTAATTGCCATTTCTGAACTGCTAATTTTCTCCCCTTTGCATTGTAGAAGGAGGTCTCTAAAAAAAGCTGCCTCTGACTATTTTAGTGGAGGATGTATGAATTATTTTAGGTGCAGATTTTCTTCCCTCTGTTTTTTAACAGCAACTATTGCACTAAAAGAAGTGAAAGGGACAGCTGTGATTGCATCGAGATGGCTCTTTTTGAAACCCTGGAGGGTGTGGCAAAAAACAAGCATTCCTCCAATTTTCTTGGTTTTGAAGACGACCGGCAAAGAGGAGCTCTGGTGCCTTGTTTTTAATTTCTTTACAAAACCCTTCCAGGTTTGTTTTTGCTGCTTCTAAGATAAAAAAACTCCAGCTCTGTTTTTGTGGGTTTTAGCAAATGTTCACCAGGCATTTTAGTCAGATGTATCAGGTAACAGAGAGACCGAGGCTTTCCCTTCCCACTGCTCAGGTTTCAGGCTCTGGTGGTGCACAACACAGACTCACACACCTGACGTTTGCTTTGTCTACTCCCATTCCAAAACTGATGGTTGCAACAATAACTGGGATCTTCTCCTCCATCCATTCATTCTGGATTGAAGTCCTGTCAGCTGCCTTGAGTCCTGGGAAGGGAAAAAGAGGGAAGGAAACAACAACAACAGGAAAAAAAAAAAGAAAAGGAAAAAGAAAAGAAAAAAGAGGATTTTCTTCCGCCTCCATTCCGCGCCAACCCCCTCACTAAAACAGACTGATGTACACACTCCTCTCTGCCCATGTTTAAAATGGCCTGCGATCAAGCAGAAGTCAACACCAGCTTTTTCTATTCCAAAGAAAAAAATTCAGATCCCTCCTGGGATAAAAGCAGTTGTTATATTTAGGCCATGCAAGATCCAACAAAACCAACAGTTCTGGAGTGAAGGGAATGCCATTCTGTTGAAGGCCCTGCACCTACCTCACAGACCTGATGCGTGAACATCAGACACATTGCAGACCATGCCTAGAAAGCTGTTTTCTAGGTAGCCCCAACCCAGGCTTAAAGGTGGTACAGTTCAGTTCTACCAGCTACTGAGAGATGCAGATGCAGCTTCCAATACCTGCGTGATAGGCCTTGGCTTTCACTCCTCGGTAGCTCAATTCAATAGCCAGCTGGTCACACACATCCCTCATCCTGCAGTACACAATGCCACAACCGGAGTACACCTGGGCAGACAGGAGAGAAAGTCCATGACACTGTCTGAAGCCAATCAACAAAGCTGCAGTCATTAGTATGGTGGAGACAGAAGGGATGACTAAAGCTCATCTCTTCTCCAAGCTGATTCCCCAGCAACTCAAAGATAGTGTTGCAGCACAAAAGTAAACCAGACATAAAGAGAGTTTCCTTACAAGTCCTACAAGGCCTAACATTGACCAAATACCGTCCCCCAATCCTCTCCCAGTGGGCACAAGGCAAGAAGCAGTCTCCCTGTGCTTTACAGATAAACTCAGGTGCAGAGGCTGTAACTGAGTAACTGAGAGTTATTTCAGGAATTAGCGTTACAGCAGGAAATTCAATACAACACTCCAAATGCTTCTAGTGTGGTGAGGGTCAACAAAAGAGCAGAACACCATCAAACATACAATGATCGCCTGCGACTTTACAAACCAAGACAGAAATGCTAGTCGCATAATCCTAATCCATTTTCTTTTACACCAACCCCTCTCTGAGGACACCTCTGAAAGGAACGCAGCCTTCACATTCTACCTATTTTAGAGGAACTAAAAAATATACGTGAGCACTTTTAGAGGAACTAAAAAACATACGTGAGCGCCTTCCTTCCGGGGACCTTCTCCTTCCCTACCACAGACCTGTCAGGGCCATACCAACCACTGGAAGGTCAGTGACCATTAAGGTAGATTTTGCTCAGTTTAGCCTTCTTCCCCAAATATAAAACCTACCCCAGTGGTGTTCTTCACTTCAAGAGCCTTCAGACAGAAATCCTTCAAGTTGGTGTATGGATCAGTCAAGAGCTCTTTGAACTGCACATCATAGAACAAGTTAGATCTGAAGCAAGGAGTCTTAAATGTGGAAAGCGGCTGCTTTAGCTTAAGCGCTGCCACAATATCCTCCTGGACCTGCTTGGTGGCAGTGGCAGTCAAGGCAACACATGGTGTATTGGGTATGCGAGTGCGAAGAGTGCCCAGCCGTAGGTAGTCAGGTCGGAAATCGTGTCCCCACTGGGAGACACAGTGCGCTTCATCGATTATCAGGTAGGACAAGAGGTTTCGGGACACCAGAGAGTTCAGTGTAGGTTGGAAGGAAGAGGCAGCTGCCATCTCTGGGGTGATGTACAGCAGCTTTACTTGGGGCTTCTCACTTGCTAAGTCAGCCAGGATAGTCTTCTTTTCCTGGGCAGAAAGCTTGGAGTTCAGAGAGCAAGCTTTGATCTTCAGAGCCAGCAAGTGATCCACTTGATCCTAGAGTAAATACAAAATTAGAATTAAATTAAAAGCAAATGGATATAAAGAAAGTCACCATCACCAAGAAAGACTACTAGGGAGATCCAGGTGAGGCCCCAACTTCCACCTCCAGGATCGAGTGTCAGGACAACATACACCTACAGTCTGGGTATTTAGAACTTCAACTCTAGATGCCTTTATCTTCAACTGCGAGCATATCTGTCCAGCTCTAACATCCAACTGCATTTTTGTGCATCCATTCACTTTTTGCTGCTAGGGAACACCCGCAGTCATCTGTGCAAAATAACTCATCATAGTCACAGTGAGCTGAAACAAGCCACCAACGCGTCTCAGGATTTACACTATCAAGTTGTCACGCATGGAAAATGAATACCACCACCCTACAATAACACAGTGCATTTCATTCCAAAATAGGTAAAGGATGTTATAAACACCGCTGAGATATGATGAAATACAAGAATCACGCAAATCACCACTGCAACAGAACCAAGTCTGGATGAGAATCGTGCCATGAAAACTGAGAAGAAAACATGGCATCGCATCCAGATACATCCAGATGAACCCTGGGCATATAAATTCACCTCCCTATCCCTACACTGAGCTGTTCACTTGCACTTGACTAGCACATACATTTCAGAAGATATGAATAGTCCTGAAAAATGGGTATCCATTATTTCACTCAATAACGGGTTTCAGTGATTCATTTAATATCCGTTGTTTTCTATTCCCAAAGTCAACTCTCAGCTTTCCCTATAATAAACTACACAGACTAAGCTCTTGAAGTTTGGCTACACTGAAATACATCATGGTAATTTCAGGCATAGCCACCCCATCTCAGGGCTTGATGAGAAGACCTCTGAAGGTTCACTCCAGCTCTGTTCCCTAAGACTCACTGAGCCCGTCTCAACCAATTTGTCACTCTGACACATTCTGCTTCACCTGCAAACCTTATAGTGGTAACTTTTTTAACCTCAGATTAAATTTTTCTGATAAAAAAATTTCACTGATAAAATATTGCCTATGCTGGAGCTTAATTAGAAATCCTCTCACTTGGAACAAATTCACTATTTATAACACCTTTCTGAGATGTATCACCAAGCCTGCTCTTAATTCTTAAAATGTATTACATTAAGACTGTAAAGCAATTAAAAAAAACACCACAAAAACGAAAACAGCAGTCTACAACACCAGATATCATGCAATGTTAATCAGATGCTTTACAGAAGTCTTAGTGATGCTACAGGTGCTCTTATAGGGAGGTGTTTCTCCCAAATAGTAGAAAAGGCAAAATACAGAGGGGAAAAAAAGGTCTCACAGCTGAAAGTGCTCAAGGAGCAGCTCTGCTAAACCAGCTTTTTCCCATGACAGAAAGACTGACTGCAACAAAAAGACATTTTGATGCAGAACAAATTATGCCTTCAAAGGCAATTTCATCATTCCCGGAGTTATTACTTTATAGGTAAATGGCAGTTTTCTTCTGAGGAAAGATCCAGTTTGGTCCATTTGAGGTATTCTACTTTGCTGCTTCTGTATAGCATGCTAGAGGTAAAAGACAACTGGAAAAAATGGAGAAAGGCTCAGTTATAAAAACCACCAGGCTACTATTAAAGAAAAACCTCCTTTTAGAGAACTGCATAGTATCATACCAGAGCTACTCTGCTGTGCAGCTAAGTTGCAGTCTCTTCACCTATCACCAGGGTAAGGAAAACACACCGAGACATCAAGATGAGAATCCAGAGGCAGGCCAACAGCAGAGACTCATGGATAGAAAGACAAGAGGCAGCTGTGCCTCCAGCGTCTCCCGACCCCCTTCACTGACTGCTTTTCCACAGCTAACGGGAGACAGTTACCTGAATCAGTGCAATCAGAGGTGAAATGACAATGGTGATGCCCACTGCCAGAACTGCAGGAAGCTGGTAGCACAAGGATTTCCCTGCCCCTGTGGGCATGCATACAAAGACATCCTTCTCGCCTGCAAAGACAACAGAAGAAAGCTCAAGGCTACTGAGTGGTGGGGAGTTCCCAGGGCTCTGTCTGGAAGGGTGGGCACGAGGGCTTGTAATCTGTGAGAAAGAGCACATATGTGCATGTACTGTGTGGCATACCAACAAAAGACACTTCATTTTAGGTTCTAAAAGCATAGCAATACTTTGCATGGCTGCAGTGGTATTCTTCAAAGAATCTCTGATCGCTTTGTAAACATTTAGAAACAGCCTTACAAAAGTACCAGAAGATACACAGAAACCAAGACAAAGAGAAGTTAAACAAGTTATTCATGCTAATTCTCTTGCAGACGAGCTCCTTTCACTCATTTTACAGACCTCGTTACCAAATTACCAGCCCCATGACAGATATTTACCACATCCTCTTAAAGCTTATCCCAGAAAGGTACCTCATAAGAAATAAGGGTTGGAAATCTTAACCACATAGATAATATCATGCAGTTAGTAACTGTCACTGCGCTAAGCAATATCCACTTCAAGTCAGGGAGATGTCAGGGCATGCAATGTTAACAAGCAGAGACACCCTGCTGACAGAACGTGGCTTTTGGCCGGTCTGTTATCACAGCACATCTGCATAGCTGCTGGCGATAGATGAAAACTGGGACTATATCCTGAGTGCCGAGTTTGACACTGTTCTGATTTGCATTGAGAGACCTGTCAGGGGAGCTGATGGTTGGCAGCTTGTACGCGTGAGCTGCCTGTCCAACCAACAGCGGTATGTTGGTGGATGCGTTAACGCCAGCAAAATCATGTTTCTGATAACGGCCACATGATTCAGAGAAGAGATATAATCTATGCCAGGAAATCAAGTCTTCTACTGGTATCATCTCTGTCTAACATTGTCTACAACAAGGACAGGTTTACTCTGAAAATGTATAAATGTAAACAGTTTTGACCTCATCTGACCATAAACATGCTGGCAGATGCCACCAGTGGAGATACCAGCAAGACTGTACTTTAAGGTTTCCTATTTTCTGGTTGATGCAATAGTGGGGTTACAAAACAAATGCAAAGGAGAACAGGCAGGGCAAAGCCGTGCTCAGAGAGCTTGTGTGCAGCGCACGCTCGCACTCCTACGCCACGGAAATGATCTCCGAGCAGAGGAGACCTGGGAGGGCTTGGAAGGCCAGGTGACCCTGCCTAGTCCAGGTGACGCGTCTCCTCAAAACATCCACAATACCAACTCCTGCAGTACCACCCTCACAGGAAGATGGGAAACCAGACATGTTTCACATCTTTCCGATGCTGAGCCTCACCTCTTGCCACAGTCATGGTCGCACTTTCCTGCAGGGAAGTCTTGAAAGACTCAAACGCGAAGACCTTTTGCAGTGTTTTCCGGACCCTGCCTTCCAGGCCCGGGGGAGCCTCGCCGCTCATCTCAGAGAAGCTGTGAACAGTGCAGGAAAGCTGTGACCAGTGCAAGGAACCGATGCCAAACCCCAACCCCATCCCCCTCCTCCGGTCGAGGCCTGCCCTGTCTCGCCACCACCTCCGCGACCTCCCCCGTGGCTGCCCTGCCAGGCTCCCCCCTCTTTTTAGCCCCCCCCGCAGATGCTACCCAGGCCCCCCCACTGGAGGGGACGCCAATGTCATTTATTTCGGGACACCCCTCCCCCCCCGAGGCC